AATGGTAAAACGAGGGCCCGGGGACCCGCGTGGATCCGTCTTGAGTATGCAACAGTTCTGAGGCACACTTGTCCTTTCGACTGTCCTCTGAAGCACAGCAGTGCTGCTTTGGGAACGGGTTTTGTGTCAACATGGCGCTTTTCCCTGAGACCCCGGCAGACTTGACTGCTGCCTCAGACCTCAGTCTCTCCCCTTTCCTCTGCCCCAGGGTTGGTCAGCCTTAGGAGGGAGAGCACTCAACGCTTACTGTTTCATGAGGAGTTGTCTGAGAGACCCTCGGGAGCTCTGAAACTAACCACCTGGAGAAACACGAGGCACAATTTCTTACTACTAGCTTTAGCATTATTTCTATCTTCAAACGAGCCAAGTCTTTCCCTATTTTGTGAACACTTACTCAAAGTAGGAAGCTTTATAAAATGAAAATCAATATTTCTCTTTCTCTTCAGCTTACTTACTGCCCTAAAGCTAGCCCCTAATAGAGAAACTAGGTCTGTTAAGTGTTATTTTTCTGCTTTTTCTTTCCTGTCCTCTTATTCTCCCAGCTGTCTCAACTCAGAACCTTGTAGGAAGAGAGTTACACTTCAGAAAAATGTTGCTTTGACATTTAAACAAGCCTCCATTTTGGTTTTCCGTGCAGTTTTTCCTCTTCCCCTGTGCCATTTCCAGCACTCTGTCTGCCCCGGCTTCTTTTCAGCTCACTCATTATTGCTAAGGTTTGCAGATCATACCAGCAGAAGAAGGCAGATTTATAAATGTGTTCCTGCCCAGCTGTTTCGAGAGTAAGACTAACATTGGTCTTCCAATTGTATGCCTGCTCTTTATACACAGCTGTGCTCATCTGCCCTTATTAATGAGGTGCCTGCCTCTAAGTCTTACCTTGTGTAGAGATAAGTAGATTCTATTCCTGTTCAAATTGGTTATACAGTAATCAGAGCAGCCCACCACTGGGAGGAAACATCCTCCTTGAAGTCACTTGTTAGTAGCCAGAGAGAATTTAGTCTAGTTACTTCCTTAGGTTTGCCATGTCCCTTAAGAAGCCAGGGCCCTAGAAAAGGGTAGAAGGGACAGGACTCCTGTCCTTCCCCTCCAGATCTCCCCCTCTCCCCCAGACCGCCCTGCAATCCTGTATGTGTTGTTTTGTTTTTTTTATCTAAGATGAAGATAAAGGAGAATTTTGAGAAAATTGTGTAAAACTAATCAGAATCCACTAGAGATAGCTGTGTAGTGCCTTTAAGGTCTGACCACTAATAAATAATGAGACTTTTGGTAAATTACTTAACCTTTCTGAGCTTTCATCTCCTGATTTGCAAAGTAGCTTTAACAATCGCTACACGGCGGGAGTGTTGGGAGGACTATGCTTTGTCTTAATGGCACGACTTGTTCAAAAAGCGATTTAAGACTAAATATTTGATAAGCTAATGAATATCAAAACATCTATCACATAATAGATGTTCAGTAAATGCTTAAATTAGAATCTAATGGGCTAAACCAAAGTTCTTTCCTGCTCTAATTTTATTAGATCTAGTAGGATAATCCTTTTTCCCCCCAGCTTCCTTCTCTGATCTGGTTTTATGACACAGCATCCTAAAATCTGATCCCCAAAAGCACAGAGGCTAAATAAGGTCTTATTTAGAAGCATGCCCCAAAGTTCAGGGCTCTGGTCCTGACACCCATCATGTGTCTGAGCACTTTCTTTATGTTGACATATTAAAAGCCTACTATGGGCTAGTTATTTAATTTAAAATCTTATTCATTTGTTTTAATTCTGTAGTATTGATTAAAACTCAGAGATTCAGAGAGGTTAACTGTCTTGTTCAAGGTTATGCTATAGCAGAGCGGGGATTTGGACTACAGTTGTCTAACTCCAAGTCCAGTGGTGTTTAGACAGCAGTCTCCATTAAAGAAGTGAGTAAGTGAGTTACTACAGACAGGCCCCAGGGATGGAGCAATGGATCAGAGTATTGTATTAGTGTATGACCAAACAAAGGGCTAATTCCACAGTTCCCCGACTTACTCTCTAGATACCCTGAGAATGTGCCTTGGGACTTCCAATCAAAATGACTGTGTTCAAATGTTTGATACATCCCCTCTGGTCCAAACACATGGCAAGAACTGAAATATATCAAGTGAAAATCAAAGAACATATTTGGGCTCAAAAACAAAATAACCATCTCCGGGCATCAGAAGTAGGAGAGATGTAAGTCACTGAGGGAAGCAGCGGGCCTGCCAGCCTCTAGACCTGGGAGCAGAGATTGGTGCCTGAGAAATGCATTTCTGAGCGATAACTGGATACTGAAAATGCCCCCTAAAGAGATAGAACTTGAGGCCAGGGAGTGAAATGCCGACCCCCAACCAGCCTCATGGAAGGAGACTTTAGAACGGCTAACTGAGTAGGGGAGGAAGAAAGCCTCAGGAGTTGCGGAGAAGCACGTCAGGCTGCCTGCTGGTTCAATGATCAGAACTATGATATTCTAAATTTCTTCCAGTGGCACAGCCATTAGAAGACCTGTCCAGACTAGGTCCTCAGGGGACTAAATGGAAGAATTTGCAAAGTAGCAGACACAGCAGGAGAAAATCAGTAACAAAAACATCTCACTCAAAAAGCCTGCAAACCAAAATTTTGTATAATAGAAATCTAAAGCTAACAAAAATTACCAAGCCCTGACCATTGTGGTTCAGTGGGTTGAGCGTTGTTCACAAAGCCAAAGGTCACAGGTTGGATTCCCAGTCAGAGCATATGCCTAGGTTGTGGGTTTGGTACCCGGTCACAGAGCATGTAGTGTTTCTCACCTCATTGATGTTTTTCTCCCTCCCTTCCCCTCCCTTCCCCTCTCTCTTTAAAAAAAAAAAGACAACCAATAAAATTTAACTAGGACTTCCACTTTGGGAAAGATGAATTAGACATAAAAGAAGGCAGGCCAGCCCTGGCTGCTTTGGCTCAGTGGATTGATCCCACTCCTGGGTTGCATACCAGATCCTCGGCTGGGGGGTGTGCAGGAAATACTTCTCCCTCTCTTTATCCCTCCTTCCCATCATGGTGGTGAGTTTTTTGGGTTTTCTTTTTGCCTCATATGTCCCAGACACGGAGCTGAACATTGTACTTCAGGGTGAAAAACTGAATGCTTCCCCCCGCCCCCCCAAGAGCAGGAACAAGGAGAGGATGCCAGCTCTCACTGCTCCTATTCATCATAGTGCTGGAAGGTCTAGCTGTTGCAACAACACAAAATAAGAGGCATGCAGATCAAAAGGAAGAAATACAGCTGTAGTTATTTGCCCAGCACTCTGATTGCCTACAGAGAAAATCCCAATGACCATATTAAAAAAAACTCCTAGAAATAATAAGTCACTTTAGCTAAGTCATAGAATATAAGATAAACGAAACCAATTATATGTCTGTTATATGCTAGCTATGAACACATGGGCACTGAATTTTAAAAATATACCATTTACAATAGCTCAAAACAATTAAACACTTAGGAGTAAATTTATTTTTTGAATCCTCACCCAAGTATATATGTACTGATTTTAGAGAGAGGGAGAGGAGAGAAAGAGCGAGAGAGAGAGAGAGAGATCAACGTGAAAGAAAAACATCAATTGGTGGCCTCCTGTATGCTTCCTGACCAGGGATCGAGCCCACAGCCTAAGTATGTTCCCTGACTAAGAATCAAATCTGCAACCTTTCAGTGTACAGGAAAATGCTCCAACCAGCTGAGCCACCCAGCCAAAGGCAGGAGTAAATTTTTTTTATTTTTACTTACTAATTTTAGAGACAGAGGGAGGAAGGGAGAGAGAGAGAGGCAGAGGGAGAGAAAAACATCAATTTGTTGTTCCAGTTATCTGTGCATTCATTGGTTGATTCTTGTACGTGCCCTGACCAGGGATCAAACCCACAACATTGGCATATTGGGATGATGCTCTAACCTACTAAGCTCTACCTGGTCGGGGCTGCTTAGGAGTAAATTACAAAACATCTACAAGATTTGTGTGCTGAAGGTATGTAATGCTGGTAAAAGAAATCCAAGAAGATCTAAATAAATAGGGAGCACATAGTGGAGATGTCACTTTTTCCCAAATTGATACACAAGTTAATTCGATTTCTGTCAGAATTCCAGCAAGATATTTTGTGGATATAGATAAAACTATTCTAAAATGTCTATGTAATGGCCAAAGGAACTAAAATAGCTAATACAGTTTTGAGAAAGAATAAAGTGGGAAGACTCAGATGTTTACAGAGCCGCAGTGACCAATGAGACTGTGATGTTCGCAGAGGCATAGACACTGAAACCAACCAATGGAACAGAGCAGAGAACTCAGAAACGGACACACAGATACACCCAACTGGTTTTGGCAAAGGTGCAGAAGCAATTCTTGGAATGAAAGGTAGCCTTTTCAACAAGTGGGATTGGAACAAAGGGACATCATGGGGGGGAAAAACTCATACAAAAAATGACTCAAAATGAATCAAGGCCTAAAACAGAAAACTGTAAAACTTTAGGGAAAAGAACATAAAAGAAAATCTTCAGTGGGCAAAAAGTTCTTAGACTTGACACCAAAAACATGACTCATAAATGGCACAAAACCTTGTAAGTCATTCAGTGGTGGGTACATGAGTTTTTATTAGGTTATTCTTTGTATTTTTTAGTACATTTGAGATAACACACAATTTTTTAAGGATGTGTGTTTTTGGGTTTTGTTTTGTCTTTTATTTTAGAGAAGAAGGGGGAAGGGAGAGAAAAACATCGATTTGTTGTTTCACTTCTTTAAGTTACAAAAATACAACCTTAACTGGACCATGAAATCTTTGCAAGTGTCACCCGTGCTAAGGGCCCTCGTAGTGCTGCAGGCTGTCCCCACAGAGCTCTTCCGCCCAACCCCGTCTGTCCCCCTGCGACCCCTAGCAGCCCTCAGCTCTCCTTCAGGAGCCAAAATGCTACTCAAATGGAAAATCTCAGTGGCCAGAAGGGCTCCTCTTGTCTATATCTGAGTCTTCTGTCTTCCAGGGATGCTGGTGGTGAACGTAACGTGGAGGAACAAGACGTATGTAGGTACCCTTCTCGACTGCACACGGCATGACTGGGCACCACCCAGGTGAGCACGCCGCGGCTTTTCAGTTTTCGGTTGACTCAGCCACCCGGACCAGTGATCCCTTGTATCTTCATCCTGCTGGGGCTGGACAGTATTTAGAAGCCGCCCAAACCAGCAGACTCTTGGTTGCCTGGCAGGCTCCCTTGCGAGTGAAAGACACACACCCAGCTTTGGGCCGTACACCTGAAACCGGTACAATACTGTACAGCAACTGTCACTGAAAAATAAAAATTACTTATTTAAAAAAGGAAGAATTTTAAAAATTAACAGCATCTCATAATGGTAATTTCCACCTTAGATATCATAGATATATTTCTATAAAATAAAAGCGTTTGCCATGGGGGGGGGAAGACTCCCAGCTTTTAAAGAATGTTACGGTGCAGAGACGGGGGAGGCCTGGTATCCGTCTGGAATGTAAGAGAAGTAAATGAATTGGGCATTGATAAGCTGGGTAGAAATGGGGGGAGGAGGTCCTGTTTAAACCTTTTTTTCTGTTTAAACCTTTGTCTGGATTTATTGAACTCTGACTGCTCCCTGTAGTCTCCTTGAAACCAAGGCAATAGAGCCTGACTCCCGGCGAACAAACATTCATTAGTGATCCATTTTGATGGTAGCTGTCTCTCAGAGGTTTAAACTCAAAAATATTTTAGGGTTTTTTTTAAATATTTTATTTATTTATTTTAGAGAGAGGGCAAGGAAAGGAGAAAGAGAGGGAGAGAAACATCAGTGTGTGGTTGCCTTTTGCGCACTCCCTACTGGGGACCTGGCCCGCGACCCAGGCATGTGCCCCACCTGGGAACCAAACAGGTGACCCTTTGGTTTGCAGGCCGGTGCTCAATCCACTGAGCCACACCAGCCAGGGCTATTTCAGTTTTTTTAAACTCTACTAGGGTTTCACAAGGATGTTTGCAAATTGCAGTTTGATCTTAAGATTGACACCTGAGTGAATGGCACCTCAGAGCTCATTCCTAATATTAGTCTGCAGTCTGCTGGGGTTCGGGGAGCCCAGATGTGGGGCAGTAACATACAGCCAGTGTGCCAGCTGCACTCCACGAGCTCCCCACTCGAAGTTCCCACTCTTTCCAAAGTTCCTGTAACAAATCATATTCATCAAAAATGATAGACACCATCTGGACAGTTCTTCTGGAGACTGCAGCTAAACTGGTTTAAAGATATTTTCTCTTTTCAGTAATATCCTGTTGTGTTTGTCCTTTGCCAAGGTTCTGTGACTCCCCCACCAGTGACTTGGAAATGCGGAATGGTCGGGGCAGAGGCAAACGCATGCGCCCCAACAGTAACACACCCGTCAACGAGACGGCCGCAGCCTCTGACAGCAAAGGGACCAGCAGCAGCAGCAAAACCCGAGCAGGAGCCAATAGCAAAGGCCGCCGGGGCAGCCAGAACTCCTCAGAGCATCGCCCACCTGCCAGTAGCACCTCCGAGGATGTCAAGGCCAGCCCTTCCTCAGTGAATAAGCGGAAAAGCAAACCTCTTTCAGACATGGAGCTGAATTCTAGCTCAGAGGACTCCAAAGGGAGCAAGCGTGTCCGTACAAATTCCATGGGCTCAGCCACTGGCCCCCTCCCTGGGACCAAGGTGGAAACCACTGTTCTAGACAGAAATTGTCCCTCCCCAGTCCTGATCGACTGTCCCCACCCAAACTGTAACAAAAAGTACAAGCACATCAATGGACTTAAGTACCATCAGGCTCACGCCCACACAGACGACGACAGCAAGCCGGAAGCAGATGGAGACAGTGAGTACGGAGAGGAGCCCCCACTCCACGCAGACCTCGGGAGCTGCAATGGCGCGTCTGTCTCCCAGAAAGGTTCCTTGTCCCCTGCCCGCTCAGCTACCCCCAAAGTTCGACTCGTAGAGCCCCACAGCCCTTCTCCTTCCAGCAAGTTCAGCACAAAAGGCCTCTGTAAGAAAAAGCTGAGTGGAGAAGGGGACACAGACCTTGGAGCCTTGTCCAATGACGGCTCTGACGACGGACCCTCGGTAATGGACGAAACAAGCAACGATGCCTTTGATTCTTTGGAAAGGAAGTGTATAGAAAAAGAAAAGTGTAAAAAACCCTCCAGTTTGAAACCTGAAAAGATGCCTTCCAAGAGCTTAAAGTCAGCCCGGCCCATCGCCCCGGCCATCCCCCCGCAGCAGATCTACACCTTCCAGACCGCCACCTTCACAGCCGCCAGCCCAGGCTCCTCCTCGGGCCTGACCACCACGGTGGTCCAGGCCATGCCCAACAGCCCCCAGCTCAAACCCATTCAGCCCAAGCCCACTGTGATGGGAGAACCTTTCGCAATCAACCCTGCCTTGACTCCAGCCAAGGACAAGAAAAAGAAAGACAAAAAAAAGAAGGAGTCTTCAAAGGAACTTGAAAGTCCTCTGACTCCTGGGAAGGTGTGTCGAGCAGAAGAAGGCAAAAGCCCGTTCAGGGAACCATCAGGAGATGGGGTGAGAACGGAGGGGCTCCTAAATGGCTCGTCGGACCCCCACCAGAGCCGACTGGCTAGCATCAAGGCCGAAGCTGATAAGATCTACAGCTTCACAGACAACGCCCCCAGCCCTTCCATTGGAGGCGGCAGCCGCCTGGACAGTGCCACCCCGACCCAGCCCCTGACTCCCTTACACGTAGTGACTCAGAATGGAGCGGAAGCGGGCTCAGTCAAGACCAACAGCCCTGCCTACTCCGACATCTCGGACGCCGGGGAGGATGGGGAGGGCAAAGTGGATGGTGTCAAATCAAAGGACCCTGAACAGTTGGTTAAAGAAGGGGCTAAGAAAACTCTTTTCCCCGCTCAGCCACAGAGCAAAGACTCCCCATATTACCAAGGCTTTGAGAGCTACTACTCTCCAAATTACGCACAGTCCAGCCCAGGGGCGCTGAACCCCGGCAGCCAGGCAGGAGTGGAAAGCCAGGCCCTGAAGGCAAAAAAGGACGAGGAGCCTGAGAGCACAGAGGGGAAAGTCAAGAGCGATGCCTGCGAGGACAAGAAGCCAGAGATGAGCAGCTCCAGTCAGCAGCCCTCGGTCATCCAGCAGCGGCCCAGCATGTACATGCAGTCCCTCTACTACAACCAGTATGCCTACGTGCCCCCCTACGGCTACAGTGACCAGGGCTACCATACCCACCTCCTGAGCACCAACACGGCCTACCGGCAGCAGTACGAGGAGCAGCAGAAGCGGCAGAGCTTGGAGCAGCAGCAGCGGGGACTGGACAAGAAGGCAGAGCTGGGTCTGAAGGAGCGGGAGGCAGCACTCAAGGAAGAGTGGAAGCAAAAGCCGTCGATTCCGCCAACTCTCACCAAGGCCCCCAGCCTGACAGACCTGGTGAAGTCAGGACCCAGCAAGGCCAAGGAGCCAGGGGCTGACCCTGCCAAATCGGTCATTATTCCCAAGTTAGATGACTCTTCCAAACTCCCCAACCAGGCCCCAGAAACACTTAAAATGAAGCTGAGTGAGGCCAGCCACCTAGGCAAGGAGGCCCCTGAGGCTAAGACAGGGGCTGAGTGTGGCCGCCAGGCAGAGGTGGATCCGATACTCTGGTACCGACAGGTAACTGTTCTGGAAAGAAACAGAAACACTATTTAATTGTCTCTCTCCTCCTCACAATCAAGGCTGTCCTGATGTACGAGACGGACAGAATATAGATTAGTGGAAGAAATCTATAGTTTTAGGGATTTTTTTACCTTTGTAAATGATTTTAATGGTTTTTAAAAAGCATGTTTACATTCGTAAAGTGTTTTCCCATGTGACAAGAGAGGTCCGGGCACATTAGCTTGGCCTGCCTAGGGTTACGGGACTTGCCTAGCGGAGCCGGAATTGGAACCCAGGTGTCCCGATTCTTGGTCCGCTCTTTGGTTCCTGGGGAACAAGTTCATGGCGATCTGTGCGTGTTTAGATTGGACCAGAAGTGCACTTCTCAGACTGAGCTACTTTCAGAAAGATTTTATAGGAAGAGGTAGAACCAAGACTTGTCACGTCTTGTTCTGCTCAAGAGACTTAGGGAGTCTTCCCTTCCCTCCCGGTGCCACAGTGAGACCTTCCCCCCCCCCCGCCCCCCCGCCCCCGCCCCCAAGCTCACCCCGGAGAAGTGCAGCCTTGGCGAGGCAGCCTCTTCTCTGCAAAGAGCCATTTCCCCAGAAGTTGGTTCTGTCCTAGAGGAGACCCACTGATGGCTTTTCCTTTTCTTTCCCCACATCTTACTTCCTTTTGGTCAGAGAGGGGACAGCCTTTTTAAGTAGAAGGGACCAGAGTTCATTACAAACGATCAGTACAGGCCACGATCATAGTCTGCCCCAGGTGTCTGGTATTATCTGTTTGGTGTTTCTGCTGGGACCCTGGGCTTAAATCTTTCCCCCTCCACTTCTCTCTCTCCTACCCCTCCCCTCCCCCCTCTTTTGTACAATGCACTCAGTGCACATTCTGTGACTGTTGTAGGAAGCAGAGCCCCGGATGTGGACATACGTTTACCCTGCCAAGTACTCAGACCTCAAGTCAGAAGATGAGCGGTGGAAAGAGGAGCGGGACCGCAAATTGAAGGAGGAAAGGAGTCGGAGTAAGGACTCTGTCCCCAAGGAGGATGGGAAAGAAAGCACAAGTAGTGACTGCAAGCTGCCCACGTCTGAGGAACCCCGCCTTGGGAGCAAGGAGCCCCGACCAAGTGTCCATGTGCCTGTGTCCTCCCCACTCACCCAGCACCAGTCCTACATCCCCTACATGCACGGCTACTCCTACAGCCAGTCCTATGACCCCAGCCACCCCAGCTACCGGGGCATGCCTGCTGTGATGATGCAGAACTACCCAGGTACGGCACCCCTTCCAGCGGCCGTGCCGTTGAGCGCGCAGGGAAGGGAAGCAGAGATTTCAAATCCAGTTTTCTTGCTTAGTCCTAAGGCTTTTTGAGGCTCGGGTAGGTGACAGCCCTTTTCTGAATGTGACCACTCTAAACCTAAACTCCTTGAATGACCCCTAATTACAGTGTGTGGGACCACTTCTCCCTGCCTTGGGCCAGCTAGAGGGTTGCCTCTACAGTCATATTTCATGGATAACTAAAAGTAAACCCCTGCTCTTTTCCACTGCCTTCTTTTCCCTGCTGGGACTTTTTGAACATGTATTCTACATTTCGCATTCAGCACTGTGGAGAATACAAAAGAAATAGGGAAGACTAGTTTCTCCCCTGAAGGAGCTTACAACTTAATTGTAGCAGGAGAGGCACGTGGAACAAATAACATTCAAACATTGTTTTTCAGTGTGTGTGTTCACTGGCAAGATCATGTTCACTGGCAAGGTTGGAAGGCAGCAGAGGGGAGGAGCCGTTGGAAGTCAGGTTGTGGGGCAGACCAGCTAGAATAGGTGCAGCTTGGGAAAGATAAGCTTTTTATACCGCTATCCGTGGGTGTTTGGGAAGGGGGACACAAAGTAGGAGTTTGTGTTTCTGAACATGTTAGAAGAAATGACCTTATTAACTCCACTCACTGGTTCCTGTTGCCTCAAGAGCCATGTGTGACGCTTCTGGGGTGGGAGAGAGTTTCGGTCTTTAAAGCTGCCACGTTCCTACAGGAGAGCAGCCTAAATAGCCTGAATGTTCTGGCAAACTCTAAGGCAAGTGAGCCTTCAGACAGAGGAAATTGTCTCACCCTGTGGTTTTCCTTCCTCCTGTTACCCCTGTTCATCTATAAAAAATAATAGTTCCATTCGACGGGTGCCTGATCTGGCCAGACTCTGTGCTAGGCATTTAAGGACATTACCGCAGTTAATCCTCCCCTCACCCTGTGAAATAAGGTTCAGTATCTTTATTTCAGAAATAAGGAAACTGAAGCTCAGAAAGGTGGTTAATTTGCTCACAATTTGCTCAAGACCATCCACCTGGGGAATCTCAGCGGTCGGGTCTGAGCCCAAGGCCGTCTGCCTCTGTTCCCTGTGACTGCACATCCCGATTATCCTCTCCCCAAGGGGAAGCCTGGAGACTGGGCCTCTAGGGAAATTGATTCCCAGAGACGGAGAGTCATGTTCCTACTATCCCTGAGCCAGTTTTGCCTCTAGAGCTCAGTAAAGAAAGGACAAACTACTAGTCTCAGCCCAAAGACCTGGGTAGAAGAAACTATCCCTACGCCTAGGGAAGCTAATGGCCTCCCAGCCACACCCACTAAAGCAGTTTCTCTTTGACCGATTGATTTCTCCTTTCCCAGGTTCCTACCTGCCTTCTAGCTACTCTTTCTCCCCATATGGCAGCAAGGTCTCAGGGGGCGATGATGCCGACAAGGCACGAGCCAGCCCCAGTGTCGGCTGTAAATCCAGCTCAGAGTCCAAAGCCCTGGACATCTTGCAGCAGCACGCCAGTCACTACAAGAGCAAGTCCCCCACGGTAAGGGGGGTGCAGTTACATTGGCTGTTAGCAAACGCCAGTGGGGCCGGAATCAGGGTCTGGCAGAAGGTGGGCAAGTTCAGGTCCTAACCGTAGTACAGTTGGGCTGATTTGACCTTGGCTCCCCCAGGCATCACCTTGATTCTTAGGGGTCCTGCATGTTTTGTTTTTTTAATTTTTTTTTTTTTTTGAGAGAGAGAGGGAGGGAGGGAGGGAGAGAGGGAGAGAAACATCCGAAACATCCATGTGTGGTTGCCTCTTGTATGCCCCACTGGGGACCCAGCCCATAACCCAGACATGTGCCCTGACTAGGAATCAAACCAGCAACCTTTCGGTTCGCAGGCTGGACCTCAGTCCACTGAGCCACAGCAGCCAGGGCAGGCAGATCCTGCATGTTTTAAGAGCCAGGATTTGAGCTCTGGGTGTCTTGCTGTTGTGTGTGTGGCTCACAGTAGTGCTTTTGTGTCTGCTTTCTTTTCCAGATAAGTGATAAAACTTCTCAGGAGAGAGATCGGGGAGGCTGTGGGGTGGTTGGGGGTGGTGGCAGCTGCAGCAGCATCGGGGGAGCGGGCACCAGTGAAAGGAGTGTAGACCGGCCCCGCACCTCCCCTTCCCAGCGCCTGATGTCCACACACCACCACCACCACCACTTGGGCTACTCCTTGCTCCCGGCACAGTACAACCTACCCTACGCAGCAGGTGAGCCTGCATTCCCACTGCCTCTCTCTAACTCCGTCCCGGTAGCATTGCCCACAGCAAGGGGCCTCTAGCGAGTTTGGGGGGTATTTCTGGTTTTTGAGTTTCCAATCTGTCAGAATCCTAGCCTCCTGCAAACCATCAGTAAAGCACATGACATTTATTTCCTCTCTTGGAGCTTGGGATTCTCAAACTCTAGAAAATTGGCCTTCATATTCAGGAGAATAAGGAACAGGTGTTCCACAGTCAAAGAGAAAGAAAGAGCTGAAAAATGGAGCCCTCCTATCTATGCCCAGTAACTACACCTGACCAAGTATATTTTTTCTGTCAGCACCCCAAAACTGGGTGAAGTTGGGAATTTAAGTAAGGAGAAACCCCTCCCAGTCCCCACCCAGCTGATCAAGACAATGTGCTTATTAACTGAAAGGGGCTGGGATGCGGCACTAACCTGTCCTCCTGCCCACGAAGGGCTCTCTTCTACAGCCATTGTTGCCAGCCAGCAAGGCTCAACTCCCTCGCTGTACCCACCGCCCCGGAGGTGAGAATGGTAAGTAACTTCCTACTTTGGGGCAACACACCAAGTAAGGAGAGCTGGTGTTTGGATCACAGAGGGTCTGTGGAGCCTGGGCGAGGGACGGCTGTGTGGGGTCAGCCACCTGGAAATGGTGGAACCCGGGCCAGGCTTCCTGTACTCGTCTCCCTGAAGCCACGTGCATCTGAGAGGAGCCTGGGGAGCGTCTGTCCTGTATGGAGACCTGTAGCGGGCCTCCCCTACAGTTCGTTTTCTTGGAGCGCCACCTTGTGGTCATTGTGCTAGCCGGCTGAGTGCCTGGTTCTCTGTCCGTGTTTCCCTTGCAGAACACCAAGTGCCCGGATAAAGTCAGCCTCACGGGCCGGAACTGGCTCACCCAAGGAGGTGATGGAGGTGCCATTTAGACATCAGTTAAATGGTGTTGATCATCCTGTTTGCCGTGTTCCCACCATGACTGAAGGCAGACCCTTGGCTATCTCGCCTCCACCGGGCCCCCGGACTCCCCCACCCTCCCTCTTCCTCAGGAGCTGGAGAGCTGGTACTTAGCAAAAATATTTATTCTCTCGGCCACAGTCGTGACTGTTGTGGCCTCTGTGGAGATGAAGGCACGGGGAGCAACCAGGGGAAAGTGGCCTCAGCCCAGAGAAGTCACTGCTCTGTTCCCCAAACCCGAGTCACCTGCCGGAGGAGCACCACCCCCCAGGGAGGGCCCCCCCCAGCCCTGGGTAAGGTCCGAAGACAGCACAGCAGCCATGCCCTCTCACCATCATTGCCACCGTGACCAGACCCTGTGTCTCCCCGACGGTCTGGGCCCTGCAAATTGGCAGCACGTGGAGGAATGAGAATCTCAGGAAAGAAATTGGGGGCTGTTTTCTCTACAATTGTGAAAACAAGGTCTTCAAATGTGAAGACTTCTCCCCTCTCCCATGAGCACATTTAAATGCTCAGAGCCCAGCCTGGAAAGGAAGATTGAGGTACCCGCCCCCACCAAGGCCTTGGGCTGTCCGTCAAGCAGAGGGCCAGGGGTCCCCACACCAGCACAGGGCTCCCCAGGGATACTGGGGGTCAGCTGGAGCTGGAGCATGAATGGAGTCTGTGAAGTAGAACCCGTGCCCCCACTAAGTCCTGCTGCTTCTTAGCCAACACTTGCCCTTGTCTCTCTTCCCTCCTGACCCCTTGGTGCCTTTCCCAGGGGGAGCCCCACACTGATCTCTCTTCTTCTCTGCTGCTTGGTTCTTGAGACTCAGGCAGGTAAAGCAGTTTTCCCCAGCCTGGGTAGCCTTGGATTCTGCCCGGTCACCTGAGGGCAAGGCCCAGAGGCAATTCTTAAGAGATGTCCTGTCCATTCAGCCATGTGAGTGTCCTTCTTATGTAGGGCCACAAATACAGCCCAGTTCCTCTGTATACAGTATGTGGTTTTGCATCTCCGCCTATAACCCCGTGTGTGCCAATATGAGCCTCGTTTCTTGTATCACAGATTTTTTGTTTTAGGGACCACTGACCAGGGGAGGTTATGTGTCCCTCAGACCCTGGCATGAGACATCAAGCCATCACTCCTCTGAGCCACGGAGTGCGCTCAGTGGGAGCTGTGCTGAGAAGCAGCAGGCATCCCTCTGCTCTCCTTAGAAACGCAGTCTCCCGTCCAAGCTCTGCGCTCTGAGTACTGGGCATGGACGATGATTTGGTGGCTTTGTTGGGGTCACTTCTTCCCCAAGGCATGGGGAGCTTTAGCTCTTTCTTTGCTTTTGAGGTATCATCCCTTTGTTCTCCTCCTCTCCTGTCCTTGACCTTCTGGATTGAGAGAAAGATAGACCGACAGACACCAGCCTAGGCTACAGAGAGGTATTTGTGACCAGAGTGCCAAAAGCGACCATGTGAAAGCAGGGTCTTGACTGACAGTGTGGGGCATGGAGGTGGAGGGCAGTGAGTAAGCACAATGTCCTGCAGGGGCTGCTTTCCAAGGGCCCCCCGAGCCCTCCTGTGGAGAGCCTCAGGCTCTTTTGCCCAAGAGGAACCCCTCTGGCCTATAGACCTTTCCTCCAGGTTTTATGTTCTTGTTCCAGTTGGGTTCTGAGCCCATCCAAAAAACTCGCCGTTTCAGGCCTCTTAGCAGGCCCCCAAGCAGACTCCCTCCTTCCCTCTGCCTCCTGCCGCCTCAGCGGGCAGTGCTCTAGCAGTGACTTCCCTTTCATCCGCAGAATAGTTGGTGTGGACACCTCACCTCACCCGAGTCACCACCAACCAAGATGACTGAATTTCAGCCTGAGTATGCCCTCCCACACTCCTGTGGGGTGAAGCCAAGGGCCTGTCTCTTTTCCTGTTGGTTTTTTCAATATTGTTGTGTTTTGTATTTGTGGTGCTGGCTTACAGCGTGCTCTGTACATATTGTAAAGAAATCGTTTGGAATAATTTTTCCCCATCGGGTGGGCATGGTCTGCATTCCTGCCCTTTCTACTTTGTTCTGTGACACAGAGAAGAGGAAATCCGTATTAGCAGGGCAGCCCTGGGTTCTACAGAAGGGAACAGCTTTTTCTTTTTCCTTTTCCCCCTTAAAAAACATTTGGCTCTTGGCTCCTGCCCCGAAGAGCAGATAGAAGCCAGTAACAGTAGGACGGCACTACCTCTCCCTGGTCCCTGACCCTCCTGGTCTCAGATCCTTGCCAGGTCCAGTCTCCCTTCCCTGCAAGAGCATGAAGCAGCAGCAGTGGAGGAAACAGATCCTTGACGAGTGCCCAGTGAAGGATTTTCTGTCCCCCTCCAGCCTCTGTACATGGGGAGGAGAAACACAGGTGATGGAACCTGTGGCACCCATGACCTGGTCAGAGGGACAAGACATGCAGCAAGGACTCCCTCTCCACCCTTCCCTGTGAGCAAAAACTAGAAAAGTTTACCGCTAAGGCCCCAGATCACCAGACCGAGGCTCTCGAAGCCCCGCCACCCCCCCATCCCCCTCCCGCCCCTGGGAGCCAAGGCCTGGAGCTGCTGCTCAGGATGGACATCCTCTTCCTCCCCACTCAAGGTATCACCGCCCTTCATCCCCTTCCCCTATCTGTACATGTATGTGTACATGTATGACATTTCCTTATCTCACCCCCTCCGTACATCAAGGTCAAAGGCCACATGCAGAATGGTTAAGAGGGCACACCCCATGAAATGAAATGGCAATTCTTGAATCTCTTCTCTCCAGGCTCCAAGGTGGGGGTGGGGCAACCAGGCCTCAGTAGTGGGAGGGTAAGACGCAGAAGGGCTAAGAGTTGCATACAGGTTTTGAGGTCACCCGTGTCACTAATCCTCCCATATATCCTATCGCCATCCCACTGTCTACTCTGATGCCCCCAAGATTCCACTGGGCAGCTAGCTGGCCCCATAACTCTGGGCCTCTGTTACTTGTTTTATCACTAGGGCATTCCCAGGATGCTTTCTGATGATCCTCTGCCACGGGCCCCTCCTGGGATTGTGCCCCTCCCACGTCCCATCCCAGCCCCTCCTGCCCCAGCCCACCCGCTTGCCTTGGTGCTCAGCCCCCCATTGGGAGCAGGTTGGGGCGAGCTGGAGGCCCGGGCTGGAGGGGCAGTGTTGCTGTTCATAGCTTTTGTTCCATTGGCGTTGCTTTGTTGGATTTAATTTCAGTCTTCCTGATTCTTCCCTTCTGTAAAGTGTACATTACCAAGTTCCTTGTTTTTTTATATATATATATAAATATATATATATACAAACTGTACTCTTTTTGCCTTTGTACATTCAGGCAAGAAGAGAAAAATAAATCTTTTTAAGAGACAATCACAAATCTGTGAGGGCTGCTGGTTATTTCTCCTGGAGTTTGCTGCTGAGCTGCCTCCTCCTCCTTCCTCCCCACCTTTCCATTCCCTCAGCTTCCCCGCCTTCCTGGTCCTGCTCCTGCTCCTGCTCCTGCTCCATGCGCATCCTCAGCCCCACCTTCTCTGGCTGATGGCAAGCTGTTGAACCCAGTGTCCAGACTACCTGCCCTGCAGTCCTCTCCTGCCCAGCATTGCTTTTCAGCTTGGCCACTGGCTAACCCAGGAGCTTTAACTGGTGTCCTGGCCTCTCCTCCTTTCCCTTAGATCCCATTCACCGAAGTGGCTTTGGACCCCTGGGTACTCTGGGACCTCCCAGAGACCCTGGTTTTGGACACTCACCTGCGAAACTATGCAGCTAGGAGCTTTCTGCCTAAGCGTTTGCACTATTTCAACCTGCTTGGGAGTTAGAACAGATGGTTTTTTAGAAAATGAGTGGGACACTCCCCCCAGACTCCAGCCTCCAGAGAATCATTCCCGGTTGGTGGGCTTCCGTGGCTGCCCCATCAGAACAGGTGCTAAGGGTTTACCTACGGGTCAAGAGCATGTGATCAGAATCTCAAAGGGCGGTACATCCTAAAACAGCCCAACCAAATCACTGTTGCACCTCTTCTCCCTCTTGATTTCTCCTCCCCTCCTTCTGTTTCCTTTTCTTAATTGGCTCTGGAACTGAAGTATTTTTTAAATTATTTGTTGTATTTATTGAATAAAGTTTTTAATATCCCTGTTCTTAAATTTAGACTTAGTTTGCCTTTCACATCTTCCCTCTCTATCATCCCCCCAAATACTCTACCTTTAAGTTGCTTTTTTAATTGGAGTGCAGATTTTGGGTGCCTGCTGTATTTCTTTGCTGTCGGTGGTCTTATCCAGCAAAGGCTTTTCTTTTTGGAAGGGAAATCTCACCTAGGTTTCCGATTTGACCTAACTCCAGCTGTTTTAAAGAGGACCCACCAGTAGGTGGCAGCAGAATCAGGCATATTCCCTGTCCACTCGGCTAGCTTTGGGGACAATAAAGGACTGAGTGTTGTCTTGGTGCTTCAACCTGTCTTGTAAGTTCCTTGGGTTTGAGTTTTACCATCTGAAATCTAAACTGCCTACACTAACTTGGCCGCTGTCAGCATTCACATGGCTGTGCCGTGTCACTGTTTTTCAGTCACTGCCTTTATGCTGCCTCAGGGGTTTTCTGCTCAGCGGAGGACACCTTCAGGCCCTCCTCTAGGCCCAGACCTCCTCCTCAAACTGTGGAGGGTGCAGGTGCTGAACTCACTTCTTTTAATGAATACCAGGTAGGTTCCAAGGTTAATGACTTACCCCTTGCGAGAACACAGGGAAGTTTCAGAAAGAACAATGTAAAAATGGGCCAAAGACCCAGAGAAAGTCAAGACGGCCACGTCTCAACAGTGAGTGTGCCGAAGCTACAGGAGGTGGAAAAACAGGCCCCGCACCTCACTGAGGAAAACAGAGGAGAGAAATGCTACTAAGCCCTTGGGGAATTAAAAGACAACCACAGGCGACGAGTGTCCTAGCCCCCTCTGGTGACATGAGGGCTTCCCCTCGTCAGGGTCAGGCTGGTGTGAGAATGGCAGCCATGCCTCAGAACCCTGAGAGGAGAAAACCATCTTCCTAAGGAAAGTGCTTGCTGCTTCCTTCAAACACCTCCAGGAATGGGAACATCAGCTCCATGTAAAAGCCAGAACCCGTCAGGACCACTCCTATACAAAGGACCACGTAAGAACAGCTTAGCTCCCGGGGACACAGCCCGTGTGTGGACGCAGCTACTGTGTGCACACCCAACACGGCTTCTGGCAGTGCGCCCCAGACTCCTAGCAACCCCATCTTTGCATGTGACGTGGCCCCAGAGACCTCAGCCCGTTCACCTGCCCTGCCGCACTGCAACTTTCCTCCTGAGAAGCGCGCATCACAGCCCCACTAGGTTAGGCTCCAGATTCTACAGACGGGAGTGGTAGGAAGCTGGTCCTGGTACAGAAATAAGGAACAGACCAGCCACAACTTTAAATCCGTTTATTGACACAGAAACACAACACACTTGCCTCCCTGACACCCCCACCCCCTCACCCAGAGTAGATCTCTCCCCCTTCCTCCCCCCATAGAACAGCTGTTCCTTGAAACAGAAAAGGGCAGGCCACTCCCGCAGCCCCAGTCCCACCTCCAGGCTCCGTGAGGCGAGGGTCTCAGGCACTGTGGAGAGCCTGTCAGAGGGCTGGGGAGGGGTGTGCAGTTAGCCCTGTACTCAGCCAGGCAGAGGCATCCAGTTCTTAGGAAGATTCCCCCTCCACCCCCGGGCCCTGAGTCGCCATTCCTCTTCCTCTCTGCTCTTTGTGATACTAGGAAGGAGACATGCTGGGGCCTGGGCCTATCGCCAGGAATGAGAACTCCTGGCTGTGAGCTGAGAATTGGAGTTTGGCTAGTGTTTCTTAAGGTCCAGGCACCCTAAAAAAAGCCCTGGTGGTGGGAGTGAACTTCAATGCCCCTATTAAAAATGCACCGACAACATTAAACAGATTAAGCCAGCTTAACCAAATGCCAGGATAACAGTAAGCTGTACAGAAGGAGGGGGTCTGACCAGCTTTCCCCAGGCCAGACACAGACGCACACAGAGAAGCCCAGGTGGAGTGTCAGAAAACAAAAGGACACTGCTTGCGCAGGGGTCAAAAAGCCAGTACTCAGGAGCCCCTGGGGTGACAGGAAGCAAGGAGAGGAAATACACAAGTCTTAAAAACCAGAAAGCCCCACAGCCGGGGAGCCTGAGCCTGACAGTGCTGCCCACAGGCCCTCCGGGCCTTGCCCTGGACTCGGACAGTCCCTCCCCTGTGGGCAGCGTCCTCCCTACACACATCACACAGCGCAGTTTAAAAGCTTCTAATGCCAGTTCATAAACATCTTCATTTACTATTGGTGATTACGTGTGAATAATATGTTTATACTGTTCTTTATGGAAAACAATTTCAACAAGTCAACTCCAAGAACACAACAGGCAACCCTCACCCTGAGCCCCTCAGCGCCCTTCCCTAGACAGCAAGGAGCCCCCACCTCTGCCTCAGGGCTGCCCGACTTCCCCTCCTTCCCCTCTGTAGCTCTTGGGCAAAGCATCCTCTGACCATTAGTCCTCATCGGACGAGTTCTGGTCCAGGGGGTAAACCATGAACATCACATCTGGCCGAGAGGGGACACAGGGATGGCCTGGACGAACAATCTCAAAGCCCAAGAAGCTGAAGGTCTTCAGGAGTGGAGCTGCAGAAGAGAAGAGTGTAAAAAGGGTTCTTACGGGAAATACAAGAGTAGGGTCAAATCAAGGAAAAACCCAAATAAAAACGGAAAGAGTGCCAGGCCTTGACTGAAGACCCTCCGGGCACTACCCCCCATGACCACCCGGCTTTGTACAGGAGACTCAAGGGCCCCACCCCACTGCAGAGGACCCCCTTTCCCCCTCCCCAGAACCCATTTTCTGGGAAGCAGGTCTCAGGCTGCTTTGACCCCTCACCTCTGTCTTCCCGGCCCTTCTTGAAGCAGACAAAGACGCAGTTCACCTTCATCTTCTCTTCAGCGAACTCTAGCAGTGCTAACAATCTGCAAGGAGAGAAAACTTAGGCCCACTACCCCCTCTCAAGACTTCCCACCTACCTACTCCCGAAAAAGGCTTTTCTGAGGCTTACAGCGCCATTATCAACAGAGAAACTTCAGGGAGGAGGTTCCTATTTCAAGACCACAAGAGCCTGGGTTCAGAGAAGGATAAGCCACACTCAGAAAAATGTTGTTGCGTGATCTTTTCCTGGAACAGGGATTCCTACTCTGAAAGGAACACTGACCGGCTTAACTACTGTGGTTTTTAAGATGGTATGGGGCCTCAGAAGAGAAGCCAGTTTTTCAGGGGCCTTCCAAAGCTGCCGAGTTTGACAATGACTGCCTGCCACTGACAGGAACTCCTGGACCCAACACCACCAAAAGGGGTCTCAAGAGGCTGGAGCCACTTAAGAGAATTCCGTCCTCAAGACTGTTTCTCCCACACCTGGGCTTGGAGGGCCCAGCCCAGTCCAGTAAAATCCCACCGGCTCGCAGAGCTTCCTGGCCTTTTGAGCACACCACTGTTTACTGGCTCAAGGAGGGCTTAGAGTCTGCTGGGAAGAGTGAAACATGGGGTGATTAATGACAGGGATTTGGTGAGTGTGATAATGACCTGCTTTAATGATAACCTAGAGCAGAACTGTTTTACTGGCTAAAAATAACATGTTTCAAATTCAAAATGCATCTGCTTGGGAGGCCTAGAGCTGGGAAGAATGCAGACTCCCTGCTCCTGTTCTCCCCAGTAAGCACATGCCTTTCTCTGGGAGGGCCCTCTTTCCCCATGTGCTCCTTCCCTTTCCCCAGCCCTTGCTCCTTACCCTTCTTTGCTCCCATCAGCTAATACTCCATCTGGGATTTCTACAAACAGGCTCTGGCTGGACAGGACTGCATCCCAGGAAGAGACTGTCACCTCGGTGACCTCATACTGGAAGTGGACGATGTGAGGCTTTCCATCGTTCACAGGGAGATCCTGGGTCACAGTGAGCTTCTCGTCCTGGAAGGAGATTAGTTAGCGACCATGCCGCTACTGCTTCTGGCCACACTGTAGGCTCCCCAACCTGGGTGGTGATGAGTCCTCTACAGTCCATCTCAGGGTAGCATGGGGTAGAGGGCACAGTGAAAATGGAGAGCTGCATGCTGGCCGAGTGTCATTCATCACTCATCAGGCACTAAGACTGGTTGGCACTAAAAGCCAGTGTGATGGGATGGGAAATATTTACCAAGTGTCCGCTAGATGCCAAATACTGTGCACAGTACTTTTCAACCACCACAAGCACTTGAGGTAGGAGTTAATATCGACATTTTAAATCTGAGATACTAGAGACCCACACAAATTAAGCAACTGACCCAAGGCTCCACAGCCAGTCAATGGCACAGCTGAGATTCAAACCAGGTCTCCCTAACTCAAAGCCTGTGCTTGTCCCAACACCATACTCTTTCCCTTCCCTCTGAAAGAAACGTTGGAAATAATAAAGATATGTGTGGGGCTTGGCGGGGGCCCAGGTCAACCAAAGCCTGCTTTCAGGTCAACTGCTGGGTCCATGTTGTATCTCCTGGCCACAACCTCGAGAGCCCAGAGCTCAGCTGCCCTGCTACCCTTCAATGCCAGTCTTAGGAAGAAGCTAAACCAACTTCTAGGCCTCAATCACAGGAAGTTGAAAGCCAGCAAAGGCTGCCCCAGCCCAGATCACTCCCAGGCAGATTCTCAGCATTCTCTAAAGCCCACCCCTGGGCTGTGCTATATGCAACCAGGTGATGGAGATGCAAGGCCCCCTCGCCTTCCTACCTCCCCCCCAACCTCCCCAGTCAGGCTGGTAAGGGATAAAAGTCAGGGTGCCAAAGGACGAGGACAATGGGAAAACTACCCTTGGTATTTCTCAGAGAACTGGGAGTAAGGGCTCTCTCTCACCCTAAACTCATCATGAGATGGGGGTGCTTGGCACATCCTTCTTATGAGTCCCTTCTGGGACTAAGGGGTGAACGCCTTAAAGGGTCTGAGAAGGCTCTGCCCCAGAGTCGTCCTTACCTTATATATTAGAGCTGAGAGAGAAGGATCCCTGCTGCCCCCTCGCCCACCGGGGATCTTCGACAGTGGGTGAGGGGCATCAGGAGCACCACAGAGGCCCTGGAACAATGTGCCTGCAGCACTGGAGCTGGGGACAGTTACTCAAAGGCAAAATACTACTGCAAGAGACAGAGAAGGTGAGAGTGTAAACACCAACACTTGAATATTTAATTCTTTATCCCATCCCAGCCCTGGCTCTCCTTAAACAAGTGCTCTAAGGCTCCACCACTGGGCCAGTCTTTTCAGCTGTAGCTTTCAGAACCACCTCTGCTCTTAAAGGACAGAAGCCCACCACCCTGCAGAAGCACAGGCAGTCCCAGAAGGGCTTAGGGAGTCCAGCCGAGTATCTGGGCAGAGAAGGACCATCAAACAACAAACAAATCTCTTCGGTGCTGGCAGCCCTTGGGAGGAGCCAGACCCAGGCCTGCCTGCTAGGCCCAGAGCCCTGTACCCTCCAACAGCCCGGTTCCCTGCCCCAGCAATGTCGCAACCACCTACGGGCAAACCCACAAAGCCTACACGATGACTTCAGGCTGCAGAGGCCTACAGGCCTCGGGAAGTCACGTGGGCTGGGCAACCTGTCCCTGAGGAGTTCCCAAGGCTACTTTTCCAAATCTGGCCTCCTCCCTGAAACAGGAATAACTTGACAGAATCGCTTACCCAGATCCATCTAGGGTAAAGAACTGAATTCAATCCAGGGACCTGGCTCCCAGAAAGGAAGCGCACTGTAGTACAAGGCACTATGCTATCTCCAGTTTGTCCTGGTGTGCCACCAAATGGTGGAATGGGCTTCCTTGCCCTTCTTTGCTCGAATATGACCTGAGCATGGGAGTTTAGGCAAAATGTCGACATGGTCAGAATGGACACTCAAGGACTGGGGGGGTTGCTGGGAGGAGACAAACATGCTGAAAGCCAATAATCATCTCCAGATACGTGCCCTGACCGGCCACCATAATTTTCAGGTGGATCCAAGAGGGTTCCAGGTCTGCCCCACTGCCCACTTTGAATCCAGTGTAACAGCTCCTTAGGCTGACTCCACAGGCCAGGGGCAAGTGAAGCAATGAAAGAGGAACCCATCTGTGCATGCGCGCACCACGCCTCGCCCAGCAGCGCACGTCTCTTCCCCACTGGGTGCTGAAGGGTACCATGTTGGCAACCTGCATCAGCTCCAGAAGTGTTTTCACCCCAGAAATCAGCAAATACTATAAATCAAGGCTCCCCCCCCAAAAAAATCAGTCGTAAAATAATGTGAGGCGCTATTCTTCATCCTGTCCTTTGCTTTATATGGCACTGCACACCAGACTGGGGTTTTTCATGGAGGCTCTGAAACAGGACTGAACTCACACCTAACCTGGCAATGGCAACCAAGGGGCTGCCCACTGAGGCCCTCAGTACAAACAGACCTGCATAAGCATTACAGCTGAGTTGGGAAGTCCAAACCCATCACTGCTCTAGCACAGCTCCTCTGTCTTCAAGGATTTCAACAGGGGTCTAAAATTATACTCGGGAACTTCACTGGGAGATGCCATTCCCAGGGCAGTGTCAGTGGGCCCACCGCAGCATCAGCACCTGAGGGTGGTAACCACAGGCACCACCCCTGCCTGCTCCGGAGAGTCTCAGGGAATCCTCACCTCCCCCATTCCTGGCCTCACCAAGAGATAGTAGAAGGGGCATGACTGAGAACTACACTACTATTTTCAAAGGATGGGGTTTACTTTCTATGAGGGACACTGAGTTCTTATAATCCCCCCTTCCAGTGTGTTAAGGGATAGAACAGAGTAGAGTCCAGGTTGAAAAAAACAGGACAGCTGGGCCTTTCCCCAAACGAAAGCACACACACATCCCACATGCTATGTTTGCCTTCCCATTCCCTAGTGGCTACTCCAGGCCTCTGGAGAAAGCAGGCTTGCTTGTATTGCTCAGTGAAATTACTAAGGTCTGGGCAAACCTCCTCTGGGGCGACAGATGAGATACGGCCTTGTATTATACCAGAACTACATGGGTTCACCAAACAACCAGATCACCAAGGAAGGCCCTTGCAAATCTGGGATTCTGGTGCTGGCTCACTTAACTTCAGGCTCCTACTTCCAGAAGTCACAATTTCCAGAGAAATCGCCCCTCCAAGGTCTTTAGACGGAGAGCCGCAGTCAACTCCTCACCTTCATTCCAACCACCCTCTTTATGGCGAGCTAATTTTCACATGCAAATGGCAGAAACACTGGGGCCAAGCCAATGAAGAAGTCAAAGGTGGGTTTTCCTTCTTTTTAGGTCCAGAACCCCCTTTTGTCCTCCTAGAAAAAAAGCCCTTAGGGTCTGCCCTGTGTCCAGCATGAATGTATGAGCTCATGCTGTGCCTGGTGTCCTGATCTCACTCCTCTTCAGGTAAATGCAAGCAGTCTGTTTCACAGTAACAAATCATTTACTTCTGCCATCACACACAAAGATCCTGGCAACTCTTTCCTCCTCCCCCACAAAGTCTACACAGAAAGCAAGTGTGAATGTGAGTAGGGATGTTAGGGGTTTCAGAGCCCCATGCAGGTATCCAGTTCCAGTTCCTGAAACAGCTGGGGTTTCTAATACACTTAGTAGACAGTAGATCACAATAATCATCTTCACTGCCCACCCTGCTGGATGTTTTATTACTTGCTGCAAATGGCAAATTGCTTCTCACAAAAAACCTGATCATCAATTCTCCAGAGACGGGAAGGGTGATGGGTACAAATGTAGTAATTAAAGAAAGTAAGGGGCATGAGAACAGTGGCCTCCTCTTGTTGGATTAACTTTAGTGCTCAAATGGTGTTATGGCAAAATATGCCACCAACCTCAGGAAAAGAGGATCCTAGAGGAACTTAAGCACAAGAGAAAGTGGCTTCTAAACACAAGTCTTCCTGTCACAAGATCCAAACCTGGTTGGACTACGTATTCAGTTTAGTTGTGTTCCTATTGGTTCCAATGCTCATTTTCCAGCCTCTCCTCACACCCTGCTCACCCCACTGGGGGCAGGACTGGTTTCATCTCTACCACCAAAAGTCTAATTTAAGGTCAATCTAGAGGCTGAAAAGATCACAACTGATTAAAGAGAATCAAATGTATCAGAACAAACCCAAACATCCGGTGCAGCTGGATGCTCCTGTTCTTGGAGAAGAAAAAAATACACCATGCTGGAAATGAGGGTCAGGTACCCAAGTCAATTCAGAAGAGAGATGGGAGATTGGAGCCAATCTGTTAGTGCCTTTTATTTGCTCAGTTGTTACTGGACATGCTCTTGGAAACACTCCTCAGGATACATGAGTGCTACCCTCACATCCTGCTGCCTCCAACATAAAGCATTCTGTGACTGCTGTCTGAAATGTCCTTAGCAGGCTGTAATTTCATCCACTGGCTACAGATGGGCAGTGCATGAAGCAGATGTATTTCAGGGGAATGCTGCTGGTAAATCGAAGTTTTAAAATTCAGATCCTGTTTTTAAATCTGCAGGGTGCTTACCATTTAAAGAAAGTAACCTCAAATTTCTTGATAAAGGATCTCCTGCCAAAAGTCACTTCCAGTTGACCATGTCAGTTTTGATTTTTACATTAACTTTGTTCAAAACAAGTAGCCTATTACATAGAGACTTAATATAAAAGTTAATTCTGTGGCTAACTTCCATTCAGCTATATCTAACAAATACTCGAATTCATATTCTCCATATACTTTTGATCACGTTTTACTTGAATCAGTGACGTGAGCTTAAGTCTGCACCCTCTCTCCCCAGTTTCTATCACATGACAGAGGAAGGTCAGGCAGCCTTGGTTTCACCCACTTTGTGGTATCAAGTTAAAAGACATAAAAACCATATTCCCAAACAGTCTGGGTTCACTCCTCCCTTTTCATCCTCTCCTGACCCATTTCTGTCTCTGGCCCTGCTTCTTAGAACACTACAGTGCCCAGCTTCCACACACAGGCTGCTCTGAAGACTAGGAAGGTCTCTGATGACCACCCCCTGTGCAGAGGGACCAATCTAGGGCTGCCAATCACACTTGGCTAAACAGAAACATGAAGAAAGGCGGGAGGTGATGGCCACCTCCAGTCTAGAGTGCGGGAAGAGGCTGACTTCCAGCTGCCAGTTCCCTTTCCATTTGAGAAAGGGCGCTGGTTGGATGCCAGGCATAAGTTATTCACTGAGGCTCTTCTGTGTGCCAAAGGGAGTCTACTTGCTAGGCCTGATTATAAAGAAAATGACATCACCACTCTGAATCACAGACTGAAATCAAAACTGGCTTTTGGTTGGTTCTCCACCAGAAACACCCGGTGGCAGCTAGAATATCTGTGCCTCTGAGGTCTGCTTATCTTAATTACACAGATGACACTGCCACACCTTCCACCAAAGGTGGGCACAACTGCAGGTGCTGTCAGAGGCTGGGGGACAGCTAGGTAATCATGCCTTAAACCAGACCTTCAGTTTACATTTTAAGTACCTCCATCTAGTTTTTATCATAAAGTCATCACCCAGTTCTGGCCTCTTCCCAGGATGGAATCGCTTCATTGTTTATATAGTATCAAAGGCCTAGGAAATTTTCTTAAGGCTTATCTTAGACAAAACATTTTATTCTGCTGCTAACCCTGAGCTACCCATTTGGATCATTTCGAGTAACAAAATTCTTACTCACCTACTTGACCCTTTCTCGTCTATAGCTTTCAATTAGGCTTCACAGCCTTCCAAATCATGGCACCAACCTGAATCAGTTCTGCAAACTATTTCAAAATGGGATTACTATTTTTCCCTAAGAAAGCACATATGTAACATCATCCCTCTACCCCAATCCTCAGTCCCGTTTTTCATGTTTCTGAGCAGCTCTGAGGCTAAATTTGGATTTCTTGGCAGAGTGAGAAGTATTAGTTCGCACTGCTTTCTGAAGCATACCCCCAATTTGGGGGAATTCCTGACTATACTTAGGAGTTTCTCTCTCTCTCTTCCTCTCTGGGGTGACCTTGAAGGCACCCAACAGGAAAACTCCCTCTCCCTACCATCCCACATCCAACCAGCCACAGTGCCAACAAATAAGGAATAACTAAAACCAAGTTCTTTGGGGGGAAGAGACTGAAGTCCCATTCTCCAGGGAACCATTCAGTGAAGGTGCTCAAGGCAGCTCTGGTGCACTCTGTGCCCTCTCCACTCCCAGAAGAAGCACCTGTGGAAGCAATGCTTCTCCTCAAAGCCTGTCAGACACGGGCTGATTAGAACACAGATCTGGAGCCAGGGAGAGCTCTTCTCCACATACTGTACTGTCACAGGTACTAAGCCAGACCTAGTCAGAGACTATCTTCCTGCCCCTACGAATGAATCCAGGAAGAGAAAGGCCATGACGCTTGATTTCCTTGGATCTGAACCTCACGTTCAAAAACTGGAATAAAAACAGTGCCTGTACTTGTGTCTTCTTCCTTCCCCCACGACTGGGCATTTTGACATTCTGGAGGTACTAATCAGAACAAAACTGGAAAGGAAGAGCCTGTTTTCAAAACATACTGCCCGCTCCTCTGCAACTGTTTCTTCCAGGAAACCAAGCCCCCACCTCTTGAGCATTTCACTGGAGCCAGGAATGCTGGAAAGCCCATCCCCCACCCAATGGGAGTTACTCAGCCAGCTCCCCCCTCTGGGGATACAAAACACCAAGAACATCCGGCTCCTATCAGAATCCCTAGTTAAGGCTCTACGAGGATTTCGTTTAGAAAAGTTAAGAGGCAGCCCAGAGGAGGCTGGGAAACATACTATGGAAACAGGATTGCCATAACTCAAAGAAACCAGACACCCTGCACACACCGCCCCACCCCCAGGCCAAAGTGGAGCAGCCTGAGCCAAGGCCTTGCTCCTGCCCAGGCCCTGGCAGGCCACTGGCTCCTCCCTCCACCTGCCTGTCACACAGCCAAGCCCCTCAAATTACCAACACACTAAGCAAGGGCCCTGGAGAAAAGCAAGCCTGTTTTGCCACTTAGGAAGCGGGAAGGAATCTCAAGTTAAGTGAATCCAACCCCCTCTTTTTACATGTACGTGCACTGGCTAAGCCAAAACTAAAACTCAGGTCTCAACCTCGCAGTCAGTGAAGACCCTTAGGTGCTGCTCCCAAGGACCCCAAAGAATGCCTGCTGAGACCACACCACCTTCCAAACCCACTGTGGAGACAAACATAAAGACCAGAAAAGAAGATTTTCCCATAGGCTCCTCTGCTTCCCTCCACCCCTGCACCTCATTCTGCCATCTGTCCTCAGAACACACACAGCCTTTTCTACCACGAGTAATACCTTTTGCATCCAGCACCATCCAGGTATACATCTACCTCCACCTTCTCCGCTCCAGAAGGGCTGGGTTAGAGAAGATGGAATAAAAGACAGGACTGCAGAGGGCAATGGACATGGAGAGTCTCAGGAAATAAACATAAAACAGCAGAATGGGACTGCAGGTAGAGGGCTTGGGAGGTGGGGAAACGGGTAAAATCAGACCATAAAAAACAGGAAATAAGGAATAAATTTTCTTTCTGCATATAGGGAAGAAACAGAAGTGTGGGGGCTAGACAACAGTCTGAAAATAATGGCCATTGGCTGAGAACTGAGTAACTAAAGGTAGGAGAATTTAAAAGGCTGCTGCAGGTATCTTGGGTATTTCTGGTTAGTACCTGGGGCAGGAAAACTAAGGAAATCCCTGAAGACAAGGCCCTTTTCAGTAAAGGGCTGACACCCACAAAAGGAAAACGATGGGAAGGGTCTTCTGTGGGGAGGGGTGGAGAGGCAGCGTTTCTTGAACCTGGCTGCACATGGGAATTGCCAGGGAGCCTTACAAATATGTACTAATAACCAGGCCGTACCCTATGCCAGCAGGTAGTTGAGGCAGGGACCAGTTGACTGATTTCTCAAACGTGCAGCCAGAGTTAAGAAGCAATGAGGAAAAAGAAAAACCAAAGACCCAGCTGGACTGTTTAAGGATGGTGCTTGCTGTGAAGTGGGAAACGGCAGGTTAGAGGCCATTTTAGTGATAAAGGAGCCCACATCTGAGAGGGAACCTTCAGTGGTAATCAGAACCCTATGTAAAAAAAAGCAGTAAGAAAGGCCATGTTTATAAGAGAAACTAAAGTCTAGTTTTAATCAAACCAAGGCACAATTTAAGGAAGATCTGCAAGAAATGGATCTGCTTGCAAAATTGTGAGGCCCAAGTGAGGAACAGAGGCCATAAGCCCAAATATGGGGACAAAGGGGCCAGTGTGGGTAACTAATGAGCTTCAGACTCATTTTGGAGGGGGCAGCACAAGTCTCGGGAAAATAGGAGGAAGATAATTAGACCCGAATTGTAAATAGAAGCCGTTCTGATGTAGAAACAATCAGTGTTAAAATTTGTGGGGAATCAGGAAATTATGGAACAGTTTTAAAGAGTCTGGAGCAGAAACATGGAGTGTTTGAGGGGGAGATGGAGGACAAGGGCTGCCCTGGAGAATGAGAGGTGGAGAGGAAAAGTAAACGATGAATCCTCCCTATTTTGAGCAGGGGGAAGTATATACGATTTAAGTTTAGAAAACCACTGGTTCTGCGTGAGAAAGACGTGCATCCTTTCTCTCCAACTAACAGGGGCCGGGTTTTGAGGGAGGAAACTTTGCAAAGGCCCAGGGTCCAGAGTACGGAGGCACTGGAGGTAGGGAAAGAGGGTAAGCCTTCAATCGGAACCAGGGTCGGCTGAGTTCTGTAATCTACTAATTTACAGAAGGGGTTCAGTTAAGATGGGAAGAGTGAAAGTAAAGATGAGTTCCAGTTGACAGTGTTTAAAGGGCAGGAGTATTTAAAAGAGTGTTTGGGGGAACCCCATTTAGGGCAACAGGATGGAAGATAGGGGTCAAGTCCAAAGTGCTGGAGAAATCAAAGGAATGAGGTTGGGAGACAGGAAAATTGGGAAAGGGGTGTTAAGGGAGGAAGGAAGGGAGAGATGAAGCTGGAGTGAAGGACTAAGAGGGCTGGGCATCCTAGTAAAGACTATGAGGCCTGGAAGGGGGATGGGTGGGTGACGGTAGGTCCAACCGAGAACTTAAGGATGGAGCCTGATTTGGGGTGAGGGGCGGGGGTAGGAGGAAGCCACACTGATGAGAGATCTGGTTGGAGGGTGCAGTTTGAGGGAAGGGATTCAAAGGATAGGATTAAGTGACTTAAAGAGGGGGGAGGAAAGATTTGAGGAAGATAGGAAACAATCTGGAGAATCTGTAAGAAGGAAAAACCCACTTTGGGGAATTCAGCACCATGTGGCGGAGCTGAAGGAAAATGGGGACGTGATTGGAGGACTGGGCTCCGGTTTGTGGGGACCTTACTGGAGGAGGCCCGGAGGAGGGGGATGGGCAAGGCTGGCGGGAGTGGGGCTGAAGGACGGAAGGAGGCCCCGGGGGGGACTGGGGCTCCGACTGGGGTGGCTGAAGTCGGAAAGGGTCTGAGAGCGGAGCGAAAGGCGCTCTGCGGGGGGAGCGGGGGGGGCGGCGCGGGAACCGGCTAGTTGGTCAGGGAGGAGGCCGTCTGGAGACGGTGAGAGGAGGATGGGGGCGGGGAGCCTGGGCCGGGCCGTTACCTGTCCTGGGTGTTTATCATCCTCGGCGGCTCTGCTCAGGGTGGGAGGAGGCGGCGCAGGGAGTGGGTAGGTGGATGAGTGGGTGGGTGTGGGGTCGCGCGCGCGGGGCCGATCTCGCGGGTTAAGTCCCTGTCAGGCCGCAGGCCCAGAACCCTCCTCCTGCCTCAGCAAGCGCCTGCCTCCAACTGACCCTCCCCGGCCGCCGCCGACGCCGCCGCAACCGCCCCGCCCCCAAGTTTCTCATCTGCATAGCCCCACCTCAGCGCCGCACGGTGTCCTGGGAAACTGGGGCTCACAACAAAGGGCGATGCACCGCCCAGCCTCCGCGCAGGCGCACTAGGGGAAGGAAGCGGGACGCGGGGAGAAGAGGGCTGAAAGTCCGGATGAGAAGTTTGTCGTGGGGGAAATGACTGTGGTTGTGCTGCCTTGAAGTTGCGTTGCATTTGAAGTAGAGTTTTTTGGGGTTTGACCTGACCTAGACTCCTTGATTGCGCGGATCAAGCAGGGCTGTGTCATTTGTAAGTTCCGGGAGGATATTTATAAAGCAAAAACAAAATCTGCATTCTTAAGAATACATATTAGCACCATTACCAGACTGAGCCCAGGCCCACAGATCTCAGGTACCTCAGCTCATAATGCAGATCAATAGCCTCAGCTGTCAGTTCAGATCAACAATCTGTGCCTTGAAGACATATCTCAGGTCAATGGGCAAGGCCTGGCACTGGCTGGTGGCCATCTGAAGCCAGTGGTATCTGTGGGTCGGGATCACAGTCACCTGACAGCAGTGGTGGAGGGTACAAACTTATTCACAGTCACTTTAGATCACAGTCACACCAGGTTGCTTGTTCACAGTCTCTTCCATCACTGTCGTGTGGTCCTTATGGCAGACCCCTGATGATGCAGAGACCTCTCAGATCACCACCATTTCAGGCCACAGTCACAGGCACTTCAACACAATCATCATAACCTTTGATTCTGTTCATAGTCAATCCAGCTTGCAAATAAGAGATATCGCACTATCTTAGATCACAATGGAGCATCGTCACCTCAAATCCCAATTATTTATTCAACAAATAATTATTGAGCAGCTACTTACTATGTGTGCCAGGTATGTGCTGGAGTCCATGAATGCTCAGTGATCAACTAGGCAAAGTTCCTGCCTCAGATGTCATAATCTGGCCAGAGTGAGACAGAGAAAGGCCATCACAATGTGAGGTAAGTGCTTCATCTGAGGGAGACCACAGAGAAAGTAACTAGAGAATTAGGGACCATTTGTACAGAGGGTGGTCACAATCACTCCAGATTAGAGGTCACTGTGACCCCCAGTTCATAATAGCCCCAAATCACAAATGTCCCACATTAGAACCATCTTGGGACACCATTACTCTCCTTGATAAACAACATGCTTTTGGTTTTTAGAAAATGGGGATGCAGGGATGAGAGAAAGTTGGGAGCTGCCAAAATAAGGCTTTTCCAGCAAAAATGGGTAGTGGTAAATGATACCAGAACTGCCTGAATTATCACTAGAACTTAAGCAAGACTCATCCCATACTCTGGATCACTTTAGCTCCTCCACCTTGTTTCCTTGACTGTCATCCCTACCTGCTCTTCCAAGTTGAGTGTTGAGATGTTCTTACATTAATACATACCAGAATTGAACAATTAGCCCCAGCCCTGATCCGCCTGGACCCTTTCCTGGCCCTCAGAGGCCGCTAGGATGGCTCATTTCTGCCATCTCACCCTTGGACAAGTAATCTTTTAACCTGAAAAAGAGTTTTTAACAGATGAATTAGCAAATGTTGAGAACTAAACTATTTCAATTAACAGTGATCACTTATTGAGCACATGCTAAAGCACTAACTCTACAGCTCCCCACTCCCATTTTACAGATGAAAAGAATGAAAACTCAGGGAGATCGTGCTAACAAGTTCATTTATTTGTTCTGATTCAAAAAACTAGTAAGGGGTAGAGTTAGAATTCAGACCCAGAGCTGCCTAACCCTGTGCTTCATCTGGACTTAGTGGCGAAGGAGTGAAAAGGTCTCTGCCACCAGCCTGTGGTCTGAAGGAGGGACCACCCTGATGGCTGCCCTGGCAGGCAGGCGAAAAAAATGGGGAGCCACCTTCCTCCAACCTGTGCTGCCCAACATGATAGCCAAGAGCCACATGTGGCCATTTAAATCTAAATTACTTAAAGTAAAGTTAAAAATTTAGTTCCTTGATCCCATCAGCCACACTTCATGTGCTTCATAGCCAGACATGGCCACTGGTTAGAGTATTGCACAGTGAGATTTCCCATCAACCCAAAGTTCTGGTGAATGCTATTTGACTCTCATTCTGAGATGCCTCAGGGTCAGGAAGGGGGTAAGCGTGTTTTTCTCCCGCCCCCAGTGCCATTTCTGAACCCCTCCCTCCTACAGCGCTGCCCCTCTTTCTGATGAAACCCCAATTATGACTCTTGGCCCCCTGACTCTCTCTCCATCCTAAATTTTGTTTTATGTGGTGAGCTCAGCATCCATAAGATTGCTTCCTCGATCTCCTCAGTGCCAGCGCTGTTTTCTGGGCCACAGCAGCTCCTACACCTGCAGTCATACCCTTACCTTGGTTTTCACCAGAAACCATGTTGCTTCCATGTTGCTGAGCCACACTGGTCATGGTTTCCAAGATTGTTTCACAATCTTCTTCTTTACTAATCCTCCCTCAATCGTTCTTTGACCCTTCTCATGATGCCTTCTCTTCACTAGTTTCTCACTATTCATTGGCCCTAGTTTTATGTTCCTTTCAGCTTCATTTCCATCACCCATCACTAGAACCACTCTCTTGCCCCATCCCCTCCTGTGCTGCTTGCCTGACAAAACCTCTAATCTGAATAAACCCATGATCTGCCTGCTCGATGCTTTTGCTAGAGCAAAATCGCACCACCAGGCAGATTATCTTCACTCAGATGTGTTCTCAGGAGTGCCTGGGAGTTCCTACCACATTTTCACCACATTTCTCCAAACGATTTGTACACCTATCTTCTCACTGCACGGCCTCTGCCCCTGTCATTTTAGCTGGTGGCCTAGCCTCTGCCTTTTGTCAAAATGATGTGACCTGAATTTTTCTTTTCTTTTTTATTAAAGATTTTATTTATTTTTTAGACAGAGGGGAAGGTAGGGGAAAAGAGAGGGAGAAAAAAACATTAATCGGTTGGGAACTTGCCCCTACTGGGAATCGAACCCACAGCCTAGGCCGCATCATTTTGACCGGGGATCAAACCTCAGACTTTGCTTTGCTGGACAACCCCCACTGAGCCACACTGGTCAAGGTGCCTCTTACTCTGCGCCCCCCTCCTTTTATTGAGATATAATTGACATATCATATTGTATTAGTTTTAGATGGACAACAGGGTAATTGGATGAATATGTACCCTACCCTCTTATGTTACTGAAGAAGTAGAAGCAAAGAACTTTCTCTTATTCCTCACAACCTGCAACCCTATCTGCCTCTCCACCCACCTGTATCTGTCTCTTCCTGGTACTGTGAGCAGTGGTCCCCTCCCTTGCAAAAGACCAGCTAATCCCTCCACAAAAGCTAGGGGACTGTCCCCTTTTCCCCTGTTCAAGAACCTGGCTCCTACAATGTAATCTTTCCCTTCAGCACACAAACATGCCCTCCCATCCTCAAAAAAATAACACAACCGTTCTGAAAAAAGTTTGGCAGTTCTTAGAAAATGAACCATGCAACCACTAGATGACCAAGGAATTGCACTCCTGGGCATTTATCCCAAAGAAATGAAAAGTTTGTTCAAATTTAAAAAACAATGGCCCTAGCTGGCGTAGCTCAGTGGAATGAGCATGGGCTTGTGAACCAAAGGGTTGCTGTTTTGACTCCCAGTCAGGGCACATGCCTGGGTTGCAGGCCAGGTCACCAGTAGGGGACACATGAGAGGCAACCAGACATTGATGTTTCTCTCCCACTCTTTCTCCTTCCCTTCCCCTCTCTCTAAAAATAAATAAATAAAATATTTAAAAAACAAAAAACCTTATACTTGTATGTTCACATCACCTATATTCATAACAGCCAAACATCAGAGTCAGCTTAAGATGGCCTTCAGCAGGCGAATGGTTAAACACAGCATGTTGCAACCACACCATGGAACACAACTGAGCAATTTTCAATTTAAAAATGATGTATATAATGTAATAGGTTTGTACTTAGGTAAAAATCACATGTAAACAGAGTCATTGTACTTAGCAACAACAACAACAGCAGATCCGAGTTAGGCTACAGGGCAGGAGAGTGTTCCAGTCCCTAGGAGCTGCTCTTGGAAGCATGAGAATGAAAAACTCCAGGGAACAAAGACGGGTGAGTGCGAAGAGAATGTACGACGAGAGGTGAGACAGAGGCTGGAAGGTAATCAGTGGGCCCTATTCAGGGACTCAGCCTCTGCAGGATTTCATTCACAAAGCTACATGGCTCCGTGTGTTTCAGACAAACCTGAGCTTGGCCACTGGCTGGGGAGATGACTTTGGACGAGTCAATGGCTGCTGAGGGCTTGTCTGTTGCTCAGTGAAAAGCAGAGACTATGGCACCCGCCCTCCAGGACTGTCGAGGGCATTAAATAAAATAGCCCACGTGAAAGCACCTGGCCCAGTGCCTAGCAAATGTTCCAAAAATGTAAATTCACTCTCACTTATCTCTGTGTAAAAATCTGCTCTCTAGACAAGAACTGATTTTTTTAAAAAGCTAATTAATAATGATAAAATTCATGAGTGCTTACTTACGCTCAAAGGAAAGAAAGAGAAAGGAGAGTGAGAGAAATAAAAACATCATTTACCACCTTTAGAGAATTGCAAGGGACCAACTGATTTTTCTGAAAACTGGTAAAGGGAGAAAAGCCAAAGCATTTAACTTGCCTTTCTTATGTGGACCGTACTTCCGACTAACAAAACTGTTGATGTGAGATAATTATTCTGAAAACTGGTGAGAGTATTACAAGCATTCAACCTGACTTTCTTTTAAGATTTTATTTATTAATTTTTACAGAGGGGAAGAGAGGGAGAAAGAAAGGGAAAGAAACATCAGGGTGCCCTGGCTGGTGTGGCTCAGTGGATTGAGCACTGGCCTGCAAAGCAGAGGGTTACCAGTTCGATTCCCAGTCAGGGCACATGCTCGGGTTGTAGGCCAGGTCCCCAGTAAGGGACACACAAGAGGCAACCACACGTCGATGTTTCTCTCCCTCTCTTCCCCTCTCTAAAAATAGACAAATAAAATCTTTTTTAAAAAAAGCAAGAAAGAAACATCAATGTGTGTTTGCCCCCCCAAGTGCCACAGCGGACCTGGCCTGCCACCCAGCCATGCACCCTGACTGGGAATTGAACCAGCGACCCTTTGTTCGCAGGCTGGCACTCAATCTACTGTACCTCAAACAACAACAAAAAAGAAATAATCACTTTTTAGGTCTGATTGTTTGAAAAGAGCCCTTGTCTTGTAGTGATACATATTGGAATATTTATGAATGAGGTGATCTGCCTGAGGTTCGCTGCACAAGAACCGATGGGAGGGGTGTGGAGGAACCCAGTAGCTATGAGCTGATGGTTGTATCCTACTTTTAAATTTTATGTCGGTTTGACATTTTCCATAATAAAAATTAAAAAAACAAGTAATAATAGCGACAACAACGATGACTCTCAGACACGCAGATCCACACAGGCCGCACGGCCCGAGTCGCTCCTCAGCTCTCCATCCTCCTGCCACGTGCCACGTGCCACGTGACTGCACCGCTGCCTCGCCGCTCTGGCCGCCGCTTTCCTCCCGGGACCCTCTCCTCCCCTTTCCACCACCCCGCTCCCCAGCAGCTCTCTGGCTGCTGCTGCTTCCCTGTGGCCTTTTCCACTGCGCCCACCCGACCTGCCCTCCAACTGTCGAATTTCCCCCGGGGAGCCTCTCCTCTGTGTCCCGGGACCATCTCAGTCGTTCCCAAGAGTTTGCGTTTTCCCCGTGGTCAGGTGGTCCCCAAATCTGTCTCGGCCTAAAGTCCTCCTTCGGGCAATAGACTTATGGGCCATATCACATGACATATGACAAGGCCAGCCTGACATCTCTGTTAAATGGCCCCAGCCTCACCCTCGATCCCACCTGCCGCCTGGAACCCAGTCCTTCTTCAGGAGTTCCCTTCTGTCCCAGCTCCATCAGTGGTCCCCCACCATCTGCTGTGCAGGCAGGCACCTCGGCCTCGTTAGAATTCCTCTCTTCCCCTTCTCTTCCTATACATCATCACACCAAGTCCTGTCATTTCCATCTCCCAAAGGGTTGTATTTATTCTGCATCTCTTGCACCCTGACCCCACCCAATACCAACTTGTTCGCTCCAAGACTACAGCCTCCCACTGGCTTCCTTGTCTCCTTCTGCTCCTCTTCCAATCCATTCCCCACAAAGCTGCCAGGGCGATTGATATTTTAAGTGCTTAAAAATACATAGGTGCTGTCAGAATTATACTTCGAGCCCTCCAATGGCTGCCTGCCTCACTTGCAGAGAAATCCAACTCCTCGCCTCCCCTGCCTGGGAGCCCCTGCAGAGTGTGAGCCCTCCACCTCTCCAGGTGCATGACTTCTGGAGCAACTCTGCCTCCTTTGCAGGGGTTCGGCCACGACAAGCTGCTTTTTGATTGAGGACATTTATTCTTACTGTGTTCCCCTGGCCTGGCCTGGGCTCCCCCCAGATCTGCACGAGGTCCGCTCGCCATCCTTGAGTCCTCGCCGCACAGTCTGCTCCTCGGAGAACACCCAGGAGGGAGCGCCGCCACACCCTGGGCGATTCCCTCCCAGCAGCGACCACACCTGTAATCAGTCGGTTGTTTCCATGTCCATCGGGTCTTTTGCCCTTTCGACCAAAAGCTCCTGGAGGGTGAGAAGCAAACAGCCTGGCCATAGTAAGCACTGTATTGTGGTCAAATTCAGTGAATATTTCAGGAAGCTGGAAAACTTACAGTGAAGTTAGGGAGACGTTATTTGCAAGAATGAAACAAGCAGGAAGTAAAGGCAGAAGGAAATTAGTGCAAGCGAGTGTTGCTCAGCCTGTGCGTGCAGGAGGGCAGAAAAATGAGCGTCCTGCTTCTTTGCTAAGAACAAAGATAACTCAAATACCACATTTTCAAGGTGCAAATGGAGCCTGAGGCACTAAAAAAAGAGACGAAGAGGAATGTTCTAGAAGGCCCAAGCAAGAAGGTCAGGATGCCAAGAGAAGCACTTCTTCTTCTGTTCCCTACCTGGGTTGTGCCCAAGCTGCCTCTGGAAACTGTGGAAGGCCACGGAGCGACAGCCCTCCCTCCCTCTTCTGCTGGTGGTTTGTCTTGAGCTGGGCACATGCACTCTCTGGGCGGCAGCTTCTCGCCTGAATTTTGAGTTTATTGAGGGCTCTCTCCTGCTCTTAAGTGGCTGCTTTTATGTGGTCGAGCCACACGAGGCAGAAGTCACTTAAGGGATGAGACCTGATGTCAGGGGGAAGAGACTGGTTTTCAGGACCCATCACGCCCATGTCCTGAGTGTGTTAGGTGTGGCAGGGGTGGGAGGAGGCTCGGCCAGCCTCTCCTTGCTGGGTCCAGCTTCCATCCCACTACTCACTCCCTCCCTCGGGACCCCGGGAGGGCGGGGGTTGGGGGAGGGGGGGGAGACTGGCTTTCAGAGGTGGCAAGGACCTGAGAGGGGCCCTGACTCTTGGCTCCTGCGTAGGAGATGCCTGGCACAGGGCAAGGCAGTGAGGAGCGCTCGACCCAAGAGGGAGCCAGGGGCAGTTCACTATTTTAGACCCACAGGAAAAAACACAAGTAGTGGTTGCCACCAACTTCCCAGTCCCGAGAAACTGGAGACGACTAGCCAGCCCTTTCTGCGCCCCTGAGGAAGAACGGGCGGCCGGCACACACTCCGTCCCTGCCCTCCCCCACCCGGTGGCCCTGTCCGGAAGGGAGAAGGAGACCTTGGAACTGGCGCTCTGTTCCAGCATTGCCCACGTGCTCAGGACTTGCTTTCACCTGGGGAGCAAAACTTCAGGAAAAAAGTGACCCTTCCCACCCACTTTCACTGGCCGAAATCTCCACCAAAGCCTCATTTTAGCCGCTCCTACTAGGAATTATACCCAAGCGGGAGTGCCATGCCTACCACACTCAGGGGAAGAAGCAAACCACGGAAATGGGAAGAGTCGTCGGCCCTCGAAGTTTCACAGGGATGGCGAGAGGGCAGGGAAAAGGCCTGAGGAAGGCCAAGCTTCAAGGGAAGCCAACTGAGAGGGAGGGCGTGCGGTGGGAGTAGGGCGCCAGGGGTCGGCGCCCAGGGCCTGCCAAGGACCAGCGCTGGGCTCTGGGCTTGGTGCCCGGTCTCTGATCTGCCGCATTGTTCAGCTATTTCCTTCCCTGGAAGTAGTAAGCGGGTGGAGGGGGCCAGGGATCGGCGGGCCGGAGTAAATGGAGCAGGGTGGAGCTTCTATGGGGGAGGGGACCTCGGGTCCATTCCCATGACCCATGACTGGCTGCCCTTCCGGCCACCCCTGGACTGCGTGGGAAAAGGTCTTGGAAGTGCTGGGGACAGTGTGTGTGTGTGTGTGTGTGTGTGTGTGTGTGTGTGTGTGTTTTCATTTGTGTCTGACTGCCTTGCTCGGCTTTAGTCACAGGACAAAGCCCTTTGAGAAATAGTCACCAGTTTATGTTCCCACTGGACTCCGCCCTGGGAGAGGCACGTGAACCCGCCCCAACGCCTGAGAGAAAGACACTGGGGGGTATAGGTCCAGCTCCCTGGAGGAGCCTTGGCTTCTAGCAAGTCTAGGTTGGTTGACTTCCTGGATTTACGAGGATGCTTCTGGAACCTTCTGCTAAGCTCCCACTTCCTGGCAGAACTCTATTATAGCTGGGTGTTGGAAAGCAGGTGGGAACCGAACACGGGGAGTGAAGTCAGCCATCCCCACGGCATCTCTCTGAGAAGCCCAGGATCCCTCACAGCCGCAAAGACCGCAGAGCCAAGCGGCGTGCCAGGGAGTATGTGCCGGGCCCGCACTCTGCCTTCGGCCAGAAATCGCAAACCAGCTGCCCACGGGCCAAATGCATCCTGCAGACATGCCTTGCTTAGCCAGCACAATGCTTAAGAGATTTTTGAGCCAACATTGAGAGATTTCACACGAAAAATCCCAATTTCTACAGTATCTTTTTAAAAAATATTTTATTTCTTTATTTTTAGAGAGAGGGGAAGGGAAGGAGAAAGAGGGGGAGAGAAACATCAGTGTGTGGTTGCCTCCCATATGTTCCCCACTGGGCACTTGGCCTGCCACCCAGGCATGTGCCCTGACTGAGAATCGAACTGGTGACCCTTTGCTTCACAGGCCCGTGCTCAATCCACTGAGCCACACCAGCCAGGGCTCTACAGTATCTTGAAAAAATAAAAGATACGGCAAACATCGAAATTGTATCGCCCCAAAGCAGCAGGTGGAGTGAGACTGCTCCCTTAGAGAGAGCTTGTTCTCTAGCTGAGGCTAAGTACCCGCCGCTGTTGCTTATCACACTCACATGGTTATTACATAGTTTCTGTGTCCTTATCTCTATCAAAAATGACGACATAGCTCTGACTGGTGTAGCTCAGTGGATTGAGCGTGGGATACAAACACAAGAGTTGCCAGTTCGATTCCCAGTCAGAGCACATGCCTGGGTTGCAGGCCAGGTCCCAGCAGGGAACGCATGAGAGGCAACCACATATTGATGTTTCTCTCCCTCTCTTTCTCCTTCTCTTCCCTTCTCTCTAAAAATGAATAAATAAAACCTAAAAAAAAAAATGAGTCCTGGCTGGTGTAGTTCAGTGGATTGAGCGCGGGCCTGCAAACCAAAGAATCGAGGTTCGATTCCCAGTCAGGGCACATGCCTGGGTTGCAGGCCAGTTCCCAGCAGGGAACGCATGAGAGGCAACCACACATTGATGTTTCTCTCCCTCTCTTTCTCCTTCTCTTCCCCTCTCTCTAAAAGTGAATAAATAAAATCTTTTTAAAAAGACGACATGAAAGAGGGCAACCTATTTCTAGAGAGAATGTTTCTACTCAGCCAGGTGTATCCAATAAAGATGGGATTTAGCATCTGCCCACTACTTTTTCCACACAATCCCTTCTACCTTCCAGTGCCGGGGCACTTAATGCCACCTCCTGATGACACCATGTCACTGGCTGTGTGTCAAAATTGCCCTCTCTGCCTTCCCTCACCCAAAACCACAATTGTCATTTTGTCAGCAAGCAAATCCCAGTTGCCGGCATAAAGGAGTGGTGCTGTGAGCAATCCCCAGCTCACCCCCCAGCCCCCGGGCGCTGATGGCCTTGCACTCCGGCTGGACTCCTGGCTGGGGCTGTTCTCGCACCCAGAGGCCTGTGACGCCTGCGTGTGAGCACACAGAAACGCATCTGATGGAGTGAACACTGAAAACCAAGGTCACCTCTGGGAAGGCGGGGGGCACCAGAAATGGGGGTGATGGTCCCAAGGCTATCCATAAAGTTTTAAATTTTTTACAAGGAGACTGTGTCCTGCATAGCTTGCATAATTAAAATGAATCTGACGCAGAAATGCCTTACCCTAGGAGCTGGTAGTCTCACCCTCACTTGCCTTTCCAGCTTATCTCAGATTACTCCCTGCCTTGAACTGGTCCACTCAGTTCACTGCACGTGCCCCATCTCTGCTTCCAAACTTTTCTTTCTCTTCTTCCTACCCAGAATGCCTCTCTCCTCCTCCTCTACCAAACTGAATCCAGCCCGTCCCCCAAGACAGTAGTCTCTTAACAATTTAGCTTGTATACACCCGAAACGAAACTTTAAAATGATGTACCCGTCAATAAAGCTGGCTTTAAAAAACTATCTTCTCTTTATAATAACTATATTCTCTTGAAAATTTTAAATTAAAAAATTTTTTCCAACCAGGCTTAAACAGCTGCAAAGGATGAGTGTGTTGCAAAGGATTTCTAGTGTGTTGGAAATACTGACTTTAAAAATGTGCATGAAATGTATCCAGTGGAATCACAGATATTTGGAACCCATCATCAACTATTTGCAAAATATATAATAAGCAAACTCTCCTTCTACAGAGGAAAATTTATATTATTTCATTTTCTCCTTGAACTCATATTTTCTTTCTATTTCCCCCACATAATGTTACCCTAACGTAATATGAAGTTTATGCTTGGAAATATTCTATTGATCATCAAACCATATATCTCCACCGTAAAAGTATACCTCAATTAAAATTTTATTTTATTTTTTCTTATTTCTGTGTCCATAGGGACCTAGAGTTTAATATTTTCTCCTGGACTGACTACCATTAAAATTATTATTAGTTCACTGTGAGAACAACATAAGCATATTACAAATGTTGATAGAGACTTGTTAAACACTAAAAGTAAAAAATTTTAGGAAATATGACTCATATTGAAATAGATGTGTGCATGCTGAAATGAGACAGCGATCGGCATTAATTTTATTTCCACATTTACTTTTTATTGACGCTAATGCTGAGGACTCGTGGAAGAGCGTGGGAACGGTGGCAGCTCTGGCGGAATCACCCAACGCCACCAGCAGGCGGCAGCTGACTTGGTTTCACCTCCTTCAACTGCTGAAAGCAAACGACTGGGAAATCTTTGACTTGCTTTTGAGTCATTCACTTTCTCAATATTGAAATCATTATTTAAAATTGTCTGGGGCCCCAGAGACTTTTTCTCATCAAGGCAACATAGCTAAGTCAGATTTAGGATGGGCGAGAGGTAAGTCCTCTGCACACAGTCTAGGCTAAGTTATGCTGTACTAACAGCAAACTCGAAATCTTAGTTGCTTAAACCAACAAAGGCCTTTTTCTCTCTCCTCCACGCTCAGCCCCAGCTCACGATTCAGGGACATCACAGGTCAGTTGGAGGTTTTCTTTAGTTTTGTTTTTTAATTGACTTGTATAGCTGGAAGTTCTGACCCATGCCAGTCACTCGGGGATCCACATTCCACCATCTGAAATGTCATCAGTCACCATAGCAGAGAGAAAGTAGGAAGGAGAACCATACATGGGCTCCAACGTGCTTCCACCCCAAAGAGACACATTCTTGCTCTCATTTCATTGGCCACAGCAAGTTGCATGGCCATGCCTGTCCTCTAAAGGGTGGGAAAGTACGTGAAAGGAGAAAAGGAAAGTGGGTGAACAGCACCGTGGATACCACACCTTCGTTTTGTTCCAGACAAGAGGCTGTGAGAATGAAGGGAGGAGAGGCTCTGTCAGGCAGAGAACAGGCTCACTGAACATGTGTTCTGGAAATCGACTCCCTTCAGTCTAACCCTGCCGCCTACCCTTAGAAAGGCCTTTTTGTATCTCTAGGGGTAACTGTGCCCAAGTGTGAAGCCAATCCATGGCTGCCTTTGTGAAGCCTTTCCTGACCCTGCCGATGCAGGGGCCGCTCCTGGGTCCCTGCTGTCATTATTGCTTACTGGACAATATCCTTAGGAAGCCACGGGGAGCTGGTTACTTTTTATATGTGTGCATCATGTTTCCTTAACGATCTGTAGTCTCTTTGAGGATGGGAACCATATATCTGCAAGTTTTTATACCCCTCACACCATCTAGCAAGGGAGCCAGAACACGTGAGTTCTGCTTGATGGCGGAATGGGTCGCTCTTTGTGCGCCTTGGCCCCCTCATCCGTGAGGCCGGAATGTGAGGCTTGCCCTGGTGATGGTGACTGCGAGGCAGAGAAGCCCCTCCCGTCCCGCTCTGCTTCCCCTGCCAGGGATCACTGCACTTCTGAAAAGCTGCGGTGAGGATGAGCCACTGGAAGCTCTTGAAAAGGTCTGTGGAAAGTGGGTTTAGGCAGATCCCCAGTGGCTGTTGAGTGGCTGGGGCACTTGGGAGATGTGCGTGTAGAGGAGGGGGAGGAGGGACCAAGGACAGCAAGTCCAGATAGAAAGTCGATCCTCTGCTCCAGAGGTGAGGCAAACGGCACCCACTGGGAAGTGGGGCAGGAAATGGTGAGCCACACTGCACCTTCAGGGAACGACCCCAGATGCCTTTCTGAACCCACAAAGCTGGGTTCAAGACCCAGCTGCAACCTTAGCAGAGAGAGGGCGATCACAAACAAGCCTCGCTTCTGCCAGTCAAAACCAACCCTTTCCTGCACCTACCCTGCCTCCTTGTGGCTTCTGGAGGCATTGCCAATACATTCTGGTT